AGTACTGGCGTTTCTCGACTAGCGGCAACATTGCCGTTGCCAGTGCGCCATCCCTGGGAGGGCCATGGGAATATGAAGGCGCGTTGTTACAAAACGGTACCAGCATCCAGGTCCATCCGGATCAAGACATCTGGGTAAGTTCATTCTCCCTCTACTGAATCTTAATCTGCCACGCATCATCCTAACCAACACAACAGGCACCTTCAGTAATGAAGCGAGGCGATACCTTCTACTGCCACTACTCCGTCTCCCGAATCGGTCTCCAAAACTCCTCCATCGGCGTCGCAACATCGCAGTCCCTCGAGCCCGGTAGCTGGCAAGACCACGGCGACATCGGCCTCCCCCTATCCGACAAGTACAACCTCATCGACCCCTTTGTCTTTCAAGAGACGCCCAAAGACCCCATCTACTTCACCTTCGGCTCCTTCTGGGACGACATCTTCCAGGTCGAGCTTTTCCCGCACGACGACCTCATGGCTTTTGGCGGGTGGGCCGAGCAGAATAACCGCATCAATAACATGGTGCGGAATAGTACTTACGGGGCTACCGTCGCTGAGGGCGCTATAATGTGGAAAGAAGAGGACTTTTACTACATGTTCTACAGCGTGGGTATGTGTTGCAATACGCCAGACACTCCAGGAGGTCTTGCTCCTGAGGGTCATGTATACCACGTTGTTGTCTGTCGCTCGGAAGTTCCTACTGGACCTTTCTACGATCAGGAAGGAAAGAGTTGTCTTGAAGAGAACGGTGGTACGACGATTCTCGCTAGCCATGGCGATATCTATGCACCTGGTGGACAGGGCGTTATGGTCAACCCTGAGGATGGGAGGACTGTGTTGTACTATCACTATGGTAAGTGGAAGACTGAATACGGTGCGTTGAAACCAAGCTAACGTTGATGCAGTTCGTCCGAGTGTCGGCTATGCCGCTGATCAGTTCTTCTTTGGATACAACTATCTTGATTGGGAAGACGGCTGGCCGGTCGTTGTTGTTGCTTGATTGACTGCCATTCTGCTACAACTAACGCCTATCCTCCTCCCATTTCCTGAAATCTTGGAGCGCCGCGTTGGTAACGGTCTCTGGAATGGCCATTTCAGGATCCACAATTTACGACTAATGACCTTACGACTAAGACTGTACTAGACGCAATGTTTGATGTGTGTTGATGTAGGATGTGGTTTGCCGGAGGCTTTCGGCGAACTGATGAGATTACTGTTGGACCATGGCTATGGATATAGTTCTGACTCTTTATCGTAAATACTAGTTTGTAGTATTATTGAGTCTCCAGCTTTCAGATAACGTGTCTTGCAGTGCCATGGGCAGCTCATGGGATCCATCTCACGATGTCTTGAAGATGCACTTTAACCCACTCGTTCCTCTTTGTCAAAGCTCCCAGATCATCAGACTTTTCTCTCAGCTCATGCGCTGCATACTAGCCTTTTCTGCCGCGCGGACGCGCTTAGTTTCGGAAGTGGTGGGATGAAGCAGCCGGAGGGCCGATTACGCGGGGTAAAAATAACTCCCATGGTTATGATGTCGCGCATGCTGAATCTGATCAATTAGTTTTACCGAGGAGACAAGCTTCTTGTAGTGCTATAGTAGTGGCATCATGAACCCGGTGCTGAATCGCTTTCGGGTTGTTAATCCCAGCCCCCGGGCTGATTGTAGCCTCAACCGCGATGGACGCTTGAGGGAGGTGCATGATGGCTATTGCTCGGAAAGGCTAGCCGCCAATGACGTCACCAATCGGTCCCTCCGGCGGCTGAGATCGCGCCATGCCTATTTACCTGCCAAGTGCAGCACAGTGAATACAGGTTATTCCATCCTTGTGGGTCAGTACAAGACCAGTGCACGCGACCGATCGCCTCTCCGTCGCCTACGCCTCACTCCTCAGCCTCCCTCTCCAGCCTCACCATCTCTACCATCGCTACCCCGCGCGATTGCTGATCGCTGCGCACGGTCGCCAACATGCCTTCCCAAGAGAAGGGCCTCAAGAAGCTCTTCCATCCCTTCAACCATCGCGCTTCTGAGAAGATTGAGGAGATTGAGCAAAAGCTCGAGCACACCAAGTTACGAGGTGCGCATATTAAGGCTGTGCACATCAAGCATAAGATCGGCAAGTTCACCAACCTCTTCAATGCCAACCATCGCCACGACGAGGAGCATGAGAAGGAGACGGACGCCAAGAGGAGCAAGATCGCGGAGAACCACCGCTTCCATAGCTTTGCGCCAGAGCGCGACAACAACTTGGTGAAGTGGTATGTCGATGGTAGGGATTACTTCTGGGCCGTTGCCGAGGCATTGGAGCAAGCCAAAGAGACCATCTACATTGCGGACTGGTGGCTCAGCCCTGAGCTCTTCTTGAAGCGACCGCCCTACTATAACCAGCAATTTCGACTGGATCAAGTACTCAAACGCCGTGCAGCGGCTGGTGTGAAAATCTATGTTTCCGTATACAAGGAGGTGAGGTCATCAATCTGCGTCGAATAAACAGCAGCTTATACTTACTCAGGTTTCTGCGGCTCTCACATGCAACAGCCAACACACCAAGAAGGCACTCATGGGCCTGTTTGAAGAAGGCGAGCCTGGGTATGGAAACATCAAAGTGATGAGACATCCTGACCACAATGTCTTCGAGAATGCTTCGGATATGACGTTCTACTGGGCGCATCACGAGAAGTTCATCGTCATCGACTATGCCATGGCCTTCATCGGTGGACTGGACTTGTGTTACGGCCGATGGGACGACAAGCAGCACCCGCTTGCCGATGCCCACCCGTCTGGTGTTCAAAACCAAATCTTCCCGGGTCAGGACTACAACAATAACCGTATCATGGATTTTGAGAGTGTTGATGACTGGAAATCGAACAAGCTGAACAAACTGGAGTTCGGTCGCATGCCATGGCACGATGTCGCAATGGGTGTCATTGGCCCAGCGGTTTACGACATCGCTGAGCATTTCGTCTTGCGATGGAACTTCGTGAAGCGAGAAAAGTACAAGCGTGACGAGAGATACGATTGGCTCACCATGGAAGGACGTGAAGGCGCCGACGAAGACCTGATCGGAGTGCAGCGGCCCAAGTTTCCTGTTGGCCAATATGTGCACCATCCCCTCACGCAGCTGAACAGCAAGAACCTCGACAACCGTGGAACTGTACACGCGCAATTAGTCAGAAGTAGCGGCGACTGGAGTATGGGCATTGATCCTCATGAGCAGAGTATCCAGAACGCATACTGCGAGGTCATCCGTAACGCGCAACACTACGTCTACATTGAGAATCAATTTTTCATCACGGCAACGGGTAAACACGACCAGAGCCCTGTCCACAACCAGATCGGAGCTGCAATGGTCGACGCTATCGTTTCAGCAGCTAAAGAGCAGCGCAACTTCAAAATCGTCATTGTCATTCCAGCAATCCCGGGATTCGCGGGAGATCTTCGAGATCAGGCCGCTGCTGGAACACGAGCTATCATGGACTATCAATTCAAGAGTATCTGCCGAGGAGAAGAAAGCATATACGGACAGATCAAAAAGGCCGGTGTCGATCCAGAAAAGTACATTTTCTTCTTCAATCTTCGTTCATACGACCGCATCAATGTCACCCCCACGCTTAAGGAGCGTGAGAAGAAGTCCGGGAAGTCGTACATGGATCTGGAAGCAGCTGAGATTGACGAGCTGGAAGCACCGCCGGAAGAGGGAGGAGACGAGGCACGACGCAAAGCCGCTGAGATGAGGAAAGCGTACATGGATGAGGAGGAAGATGTGGGCAAAGGCGACCAGGGTGGTGTTATTGACCCAGACTCGATTGCCGACGACGCGATGCTTACGGAAAAGAAGCCCAGCGAGGAAGCCTGGGAAGGCGAAGAAGAAGAGGAGAAAGAGCACTTCTTCCAAGAGGAGCTCTACATCCACGCCAAAATCTGCATCGTCGACGACAAAACCGTCATCTGCGGATCCTCCAACATCAACGACCGCTCCCAGTTGGGCTTCCACGACTCCGAGCTCTCCATCGTCCTACAAGACACCGCAGAGATCGACATCGAAATGGACGGCAAGCCCTACAAAGCCGCAAAACTCGCCCACGAACTCCGCAGTAGCTTATGGCGCGAACATCTCGGTCTACTCCCACCCCAAAGCCTCAACGCCGCCGACGACCCCAACGCGCAGCCCCCCGGCGAAAACTCACCAAACGATCCCATGCCCGGCGCCGAAGCAGACTTTGTCTCTGATCCTCTGTCACCCAAACTCTGGGACGAGTGGACCGAGCGCGCGACTACCAACACCGAGGTGTTCAGGTCGCTGTTCCACGCCGATCCTGACGACAATATCCTCACGTTTGAGGACTACGACAAGTTTACGCCGAACCCGTCTGGGGACAAGGAACATAAGCAGGGTCATTTGTATGACATGGTTCGGCCTGTTAAGGAGATTAGGGCGGAGTTGGATCGTGTCAAGGGGCATTTGGTGTGGATGCAGTTGAAGTTTTTGGAGAATGCGGATATGGCTGAGAGGGGGCTGCAGGTCAATTCTTTTACTGAGAGTGTGTATACTTGAGGTGGATACATGGTGGTAGGAAGAGGTGGCTATGGGAGGTGACTGGCTGTTGGTGCTGGGCGATTGGACGAGTCGCATCGGTGTATTGTTCTCGTCGGTTGTCTTTTCTTTATGATTCCCTATTACGTATCCTCGACGTCTTTATGACCTGAATGAATGCATCTTCTTCTTATGACGATCTGGCTGTGCTCCTTTTGCTATGCGATACATGTGATGACACCGAGACAGGTAAAACTCTGTTGAAGACCACATAGGTACTAACAAGTTCGTAGTAGCCGACTCACATTACCGCGGAGGTCGTCAACTCAACACACAAGAACACAGAAGCAGACAACGAGTATATGAAGTCCCGAAGGCCCAGTGTGATGTTCCAATCGTACAAACAAACATCTTTTGTAGTCCTCAACCAACTTCTCCAAACACCCAACGCAATCTCTTCAACCCTCTATCGCCTCCTCACCTCCACACCACCCTCCCCTTCATCCTCCATCTCCTCATCGTCGTCATCAGCATCATCCTCTTCCCACTCCAAAGCCTCCGCAAAGCCCCTCGTCTCACTCCCATCAGACACAAACAGCCCCGTACCCGCCGAAGTAGGTACAGCCGACGAAGGTGCAGCAGAAGGAGACGCGATGAATGTCATCGCATCCTCCTCTTCACTGTCCGGCCTTTCCTCTTCTTGTCCAAGCTCAGACTCGGCGACGGACTGCTGCGTTCCATCGTCCTCCCACGCCAACGCCGCCTCAAAGTTTTGTGCTTCTGTCTCGTCGCGCACGAAGAGGCCGCCTGATCCTGGTGACGTGGGGGCGATGGACATTTGCTCGTCTTCGACTTGGTCGTTTGGTGGGTGGTCGAACTCTGAGTTGGAGTAGAGTGGGGATTGGAGGGTGAGATCCTCTTCCTCTTCCTCGTCTGGTGGTTGCTCGAACTCAGAACCTGGGTAGAGTGGGGATTGTAGGGTGAGGTCTTCGTACTCTTCATCTGGTCTCTCTTCGAATTCCGGAAGTGGGTAGAGTGGGGATTGAAGTGTGAGATCTTGTTCCTCATCGTCGGTTTGGCCTTCGTATCGTGGTCCTGGTGAAGGGCGGACGACGGGGTACTGTAGGTCCGCGTACTCATCGTATGTTGGTGCGGGGAGGGGTGTGTTCTGGGCGTCGGAGTCGGATATGGGATCGTCGGCGAGTTCCATGTTGTAGTCTTCACTTTGCGGCGGCGGCGGCGGCGGCGGAAGGGGTGCGGTGGGTTGATGGGAGACCAGATGCTGATTGGAGTCTATATCCATGCTAGATTCATAGCTTGACGATGACGATGCGGACGATATCTCAATTGGCTGGCCGCTTGAACTGCCTGTAGTCGGCAGACGAGACGTAGATCCACCAACCGGTTGGCGAACAGCTGGTCGAGGAGGCAACATCGGCGCAGCAGGTGCACGAACGGGTCCTGCCGGGGTGTATGTCGCAGTCGCGGGTCTAGCTACCGGTGCGTCTGAGCTTGGAAGAGGGGCCCTGTACTGTTGAGCATGTGTTCGTGGTCGAGGCGGAGCAGGCTGTAAGGGAATGAAGGTAAAGGGTGAGGAAAAGTACCTTGAGTTTGGGTACCGGTCAGCCGGTATTGGTGGACCAATGGTGTAGACATTGGTCGCGTTGGTGTTCGGTCGCTGAGAGGCCGGTCGACGGACGGCTGGGGTGAGTTGAGCTGGCGGTGGTACAGGCCGAGGTGGTGGACGTTGAGCGGGTTGTGGTGCGCGTCCACGTCCGCGCCCACGTGCAAGTCCACGTCGAGGTCCACCTCCAGGACGTGTCGCTTGACGACGTGTAGGTGCGGGAGCAGGTGCAGGTGGCGGAGGGTACTCGTAAACACCTTGCGCGTTCATGGGCGGTAGCGGAGGCATAGTCCAAGGTACCACCGGCGACCCAGGCTCAGGTGTAGGGCTCACTGGTGAAGGTGAAGGTTCCTTCCTCTTGTAATAACCTCGAGGTTCATGTCGAGCCCTTGTGACGAAATGGGCAAAGAATAGTCTGTTGGCGCCGACGAAATAGATACCGTCATTCCAGTCTTCCTTTGTCAATAGTTCGTCCTCCACACAATGTGTTTCCCGAGAGAAATGAAAGTGCAGTCTGAAGTAGCGTTCATCGCGGTTGAAGGCGTTGAACGTGTATTCGATGAGATCATCCCAATTGCTCAAGTCAGACGCGCGTCGGCGGTATAAGTCAGGACCAATTGCAAAGTCTCTGACTTCGATGAAGGTAGGGCTAATGGTCGACATCTCGAATCGCAGTAGTGAGTATTGGGGTAGAAACTTAAAGATGGCCGAGTATATATAAGAAGCTGAGTGACGAAGGAGAGATATCGCGGGCAGTTAGAGTTTCTTTAAGAGATATTTATTGTGCGCGTGCGTGTAGCGACTGCTAGTGGAAGTCACACGGACGCAAAGGCAACAACAAACGGGAAAGAGAGGGGGTAGAATGACATCAGAAGTCCGTAACCTAATTGTGTACCTAGTAATAACTGACTTTTGTATATACCAAGCACCCATACACGGTAAAGCGGCTTTCGCTCAGTGTTGAGCACCGCCTTCGGTAACGTCTGTAGAATCCGAAAAAGAGTCCGTTTCGTCATCGTTCGCGGCAGTCCCGATAGCTTGCTTGGTCTTTGTTTCTCTCCTCCTTTTCATCACGCCTCCCTCTTGGGCATCTGACCCATGCACCGCAGACTTCTCGCTTGTCTCCCTCTTCGCCCTGATCATTGCTCTGATCGCGTCAGAGAGCTTCCACAGCGGCAACGCTACGAGCGACTTCGAGAGATTTACGTCTTTTAATGGAATCTGTATCTCACCGTTTCTGTCCGTATGTCCAGTGTGTCGTGCGGGAATATACGCAATGACGTTGTTCTTTTTGTTCAGCATTGCACGAACAGCAGGACGTTTGTGTGGTGTAAGACACCAGTGTTCCTTCGCATGGCCGATGACGACTCCTTCTTTGCGCAGGCCTGAATGCTTTGTATCATCGATGATGATGAACGACGCCTCAGATGCGGTAGCTTCACGGACGATCGGTAGTGAGGGACTCACGGTAGAGAGACCAGGATCTAGAGGTGTACCCGTGTTGTGAGGTGCATTTCGCTCTTCGATCATAGCTTTTATGGCTCGCGTTCTCTCTTCGCCGAAGGTAAACTTGACCAGCTCGGGTGTATATTCCACGTGCGTCATCGCGATCTGTATATCTCCTTTGATTGCGCTTCGTTTTGAGTATTTCGCGGGAATGTAAGCGACTACGGCGCCGACTTTGCTGATCACGGCGCGAACGACAGGGCGAACATTAGGATCGAGACAGCTTTGTGGGAGGGCGCGCCCAATCACGACGCCAGTGTCGAAATGATGACTGCTGCTCGAGTCATCCACGGTCACCACCTCATTGGCAGCAACCGGTAACGCGAGTGAGCTCTTGAGTGTATAAGTTGACTCGAGGATCGGATCAGTAATGAAAGGGTTGTGTGGCAGTCCCTTTGGAGAGGGCTTAGACGAATCTTTCTTCGATTCTCCGAGGTAATTTTCGATGTATTCTGCGAACTTTCTCTGCATCGTGTCAACCAAGTTCTCAATGAGCGCCTAACGATTTTACCTTCGTTCGAAGTCCCTGATCGCCATATGTTCCCCGGTACCATAACTTATCCTCTTCCTCCGTCTCAAAAGGATTGTGTGCATCCATGCTAGATTCTGGTGGTGGTTCCACCTGTTCGAAGTGTACATATAGTACCAGTCTGCCGTCCACTACGAATTCGGGATCGAAGTAGCCTCCAGCATCCCATTCGCTGGGGCTTATCCGGTCGTCGCAAGCATGACCGTCGAAATGAATATGAGCATTGTAGCGTTCCCAGGGCTTGACGAAGATGTTGTGTACGTTCGCAATGAGTTCCTGTAGGCTTTAGCATGTGATTGGTGTGTTATGGTTATAATCAAGTGACTAAGTCGAAGGCATGTATGGGAGTGAGACGCGACGCATGCTGGAATAGTAGCTCAGTAGACGTACCCAGTAGTTGCGAGCTCGACGAGCTGCAACACGGTAGCTAGTGTCTCGTCCGTTGAACTCGCGGAAGAGTATCATGGGAAAAGCCTTCATTGCGATGTAGCGGGAGTGAGAGTGTTGGAAGTGGCCGGACAGAAGTTTGACAGTGTGTGACTTGATGTAGCCGATCGTAATCCGGTGGCGACATCGCAGTGAGAGAGACGTGGCATGGGAGCGTGGCACGTGTCGGCTTGAAGCGCAAAGAAGATGAGGTGAGATGCAATGGTTTCGTTGCTAGTAATTGATAATGGGTATCTTAGGAAATATTCCACGCGCTTTGAAAAACGTACTCCTACCCAAGATTAGGTGTGCCTACATATCGGCCATGCCGGCATCGCCATTGAGCTTCCGGTTGTTCTCTTTCCCTCTGCCTTTGGTCTTCTTGTTGTTACCATCGGTGACAGCAGTGCTGCTGATGGCTCTCTTCCTGCGCCCCGCTTTAGCGCTTGCGATGGAGGACGGCGTCTCTTCTCTCGATTCGCTGGTCAATTCCTCCGGCAGAAACTTCCCGCTGCCAGCAGCCTCTCGCACTAACGATGTATAGAGCTCTTGTACAGCGAGTTCGCTCGCACTTGCGTCTTGTGATGCGCCGCCTTCATCGGAGAAGGATGTGTCTGCTAGCGGATCAGGCGCGACGAGTTTGAGACGCTCGGTGCCGAGGTGGAAGCTGTTACAGGTTATTCGGGATATCTGGACTTTGGGGTGCGATATGTCGAGGGCGAGATGCTGCCGAAGATACGCGGCCAGGGCAGCTGTAAAGGGTTTATCGTGGGTGTCCTTGAGCAGTCTGCCCCTGTCGACGAAACCAGAGATGTCGCCGCCTGCGACTGTGATCTCTACGTGTTTGAGGATAGTTGTAGTATTGGGGAATGCTAATTGAATGTGCAGCTGTCTTATAATGTCTTGTATGGACTGGGTCGAGTACCTCGCGGCGAGGTGCCTGAAGTAGGTCTCGAGACTCGAAGTGATGAAGGGCGAGGGCAGCTTCAAGGGCGCAACGTGGGCATCGAAGGTGGTTCGGAGGTAGTTGAGGAAGATGTCGCGTATTGGGCCTGGCATCTTTACGAGTAGCAGGGGCAGTGACGTGAAGCCGTTTTGTGAGGAAGTGACGCCCGGGTCGCGCAGCAGGAGCGCATTGTACGACTGCTTCTCGTACTCGAGGCTCACTTCCAGTCCACGCGCCCGCTCTGGGGTGAGCTGGGAGACGGAGGACAGTTGTGAGGCATCGGGGTCCATCGACTGGCGATGTCGGTCAATCCAGGCATCCTCATCGCCAATCAGCTCCCAGGTGCACTCGTCCAGGGGGCCCAGTTTCGCGGTGTCGTCGGCAGCGGCAAAGTCGACCTGCACGCCGCGCACGCTGTCGCCTTTGAGCTGTTCCTTGAGGCGCTTGGCATGGGTGCGAAGTGAGGCGTCGAGTAGGAGGGGGCTGTCGTGGCAGTGGAGCGGGGACAGGCGGTACAGGTTGTACGTGCGGTTGTAGAGTGGGTACGGGGGGATTTGGGCCATGCTGATGTCAGCTATCTTATCGCGCAGAGGGTCGACGCGTGCGGGTGCTCAGAGGCGGGCGTGCAGGCGTCCATGGGGGTTGTGTTGGAAGACGCTGGCGGCCTCGAGACGCGTCGGCGGAGACGGCAGGAGCGAGTGCGAGCGGATATGACGCAGCGTGTTGTTGGACGATTTGCGTGGTCCGTGCCTTCCGCAACACTTTCTTTAGTGACCCCGCTAAAACAGGGCCTGTCGAGAAGGTTCTCTTTTCTTCGACGTATTGCCAGCAAGTCATCACGCAGCGGTCACTTGAAATTTGCGATCCCGTGTCTGTCTATCTTTTACACGACCCCCCAAACACGACTTTCACCGCACACACTCCCTCCACGTTTGCCCACACATACCCCGCCATCAGAGATAAACATGTCTGTAGTAGGTGTTGATTTGGGAACGCTCAACAGCGTCATTGCTGTTGCGCGGAATCGCGGTGTCGATGTGGTGAGTAGCCCCGGGCGCATACGGCATACCAAAATACTGACGCCAGTAGATTGCAAATGAGGTTTCCAACCGCGCGACACCGTAAGTAGACCCCCAGCGCACGCAGCGCACACAACGAGCATCCACTCACAATTTCCCAGATCGCTAGTAGGCTTCGGCCCCAAGAGCAGATACGTCGGCGAGACGGCCAAGAACCAGGAAATCTCCAACCTCAAGAACACCGTCTCCTCCTTCGTCCGCCTCGCCGGCCGCAACCTCACAGACCCCGATGTCCAGGTCGAGCAAGACTTCATATCCGCGCCGCTCATCGACATGGGCGGCCAGGTCGGCGCCGAGGTGACATATCTGGGCAAGAAGGAGCAGTTCACTGCCACCCAGATCACCGCCATGTTCCTCACCAAGATGCGCGCCACAGCATCTGCCGAACTCAAACTCCCCGTCAACGACGTCGTCCTCAGCTGCCCCGTCTGGTACACCGACGCCCAGCGCCGCGCCATCCTCGATGCCGCCGACATCGCCGGCCTCAAGTGCCTGAGGCTCATCAACGACAACACCGCAGTCGCCCTCGGCTGGGGCATCACAAAGCTGGACCTCCCAGCGCCCGAGGAGAAGCCACGGAGAGTCGTCTTCGTCAACATCGGCCACAGCAACTACACCGCTACCGTCGTTGAGTTCAAGAAGGGCGAGCTCGCCGTCAAGTCGAGCGCCTGGGACCGCCACTACGGTGGACGCTACATCGACAAGGCCCTTGTCGAGCACTTCGCCAAGGAGTTCAAGGAGAAGTACAAGATCGACGTCATGGAGAACGGCAAGGCCCGCCTCCGTCTGTCGGCCGGCGTCGAGAAGCTGAAGAAGGTCCTTTCCGCAAACAACCAGGCCCCCATCAACGTCGAGTCCATCATGAACGACGTCGATGTCCGCGGTATGCTCAAGCGCGAGGAGCTTGAGGAGCTGATCAAGCCCCTCATCGACCGTGCCACCGCCCCTATCGAGCAGGCTCTCGCTGAGGCCAAGCTCACCACTGCCGACATCGACGCCATCGAGATGGTTGGTGGCTGCACACGTGTACCCGTCCTCAAGGCCAAGATCCAGGACTACTTCGGCAAGCCGCTCTCCTTCACTCTCAACCAGGACGAGGCTGTCGCTCGTGGCTGCGCTTTCTGCTGCGCCATCCTCTCGCCAGTATTCCGTGTCCGTGACTTCTCCGTTCACGACATGGTCAACTACCCCGTTGAATTCACATGGGAGAAGTCAGAGGACATTCCGGATGAGGACACCAACCTGACTGTCTTCAACAAGGGCAACGTCATGCCATCAACCAAGATCCTCACATTCTACCGGAAACACCCATTCGACCTCGAGGCCAGGTACGCCAAGCCGGAGCAACTACCAGGAAAGATGAACCCCTGGATCGGCCGCTTCTCCGTCAAGGGCGTGAAGGAGGACCCCAAGGGCGACTTCATGATTTGCAAGCTCAAGGCACGTCTCAACGTGCACGGTGTGCTCAACGTCGAGTCTGGATACTACGTCGAAGAAACCGAAGTTGAGGAGCCAATTCCCGAGTCTCCGTCAGCAGAGAAGAAAGAGGGTGATGTACGTTCCGAATTTCCTTCTGATCCTAGTAACGGGCGGCAAAGCCCGCCCGAGCCTGCCGCGAAACGACACAAGCCTGACGCTGATCCTGTACTTGCGCGTCCTACTTCTGCGCACACAACAAATGAGCTAACAAATTATGCGCAGGCAATGGACGTTGACAAGGATGCCGCCAAGGAGCCACCGAAGATGCGCAAGGTTAAGAAGCAGCAGCGTAAGGGTGACCTGCCACTATCCGCAGGCACTGCTTCGCTTGACGAAGAGAGCAAGCAGACCCTGGCCGAGAAGGAGAACTCCATGATCATGGAGGACAAGCTCGTCCAAGACACCGAGAACGAGAAGAACAACCTCGAGAGCTTCATCTACGAGCTGAAGGACAAGATTCTCGACGTCTACGCTGAATTCGCCAGCGACGAAGAGAAGGCCAAGCTCAACACCAAGCTCGAGACCATCGAGGTAAGTCCCATCAATAGTACGATATATGAGCTGCGCTGACATCTACACAGGAATGGTTATACGACGAGGGTGACGACGCGTCGAAGGCACAGTACGTCTCCAAGAAGGAGGACATCCGCTCCATCGCCGGTCCCATCATCCAGCGCTACAACGACAAGATCGAGGGTGAGCGACAAGCAGCCATGGAGAAGCACCAAAAGGAGCACGCCGCCAAGCAAGCAGAGCTTGAGCGCGCCAAGCGGGAAGCCGAGTCCAAGAAGCAGGCTGAGGCGCCGCCGGCGGAAGAGCCAAAAGATGCGGAGATGACGGACGCCGAGGCACAAAAGCCAGACGGCGTTGAGGAGGCTTCTTAAGCGGAGAGGCATCTGCGAAGGCGTAACGGCAAAGTGAAAAGCATTTGGTCGGCGTGGTATACTAAAGGGCTACGTTTGGCGCCGAGGGGAAAGTTTTCTCTGTTCGACTTTTCTTCTTGTTTTCTCTGTGATGACGATCATGGTAATGCGATGCTTATGATAGACTAGTCCATAGATGAACGAACACGATATCCAGTTTTGGAACTACAATGATATGTTCCGCTGCTTCCATCATTCTGGTCTGCGTGGTTGTGCTTTCCTTCTCTGACTGGACTCCGTCATTAAAGTGGGGCAGCGGAACCCGTCGCGAGCTGCCTCTTTGCGCAATGTTCTGGACCTCCTTCTCTCGAAACTGTCCGACTATTCAATCAACGGAACATGATGGATAGTGCACTCGATTACACCGCCTCTCCTCTATCCTGAGAGAAACTCCTTCCCATAACACTGCGATTGAGAACTCCCCACACGGATATCGATGCAGCTTCAACAACAAATGGCACGGACGCAGACTCCCTGCGACTCAACGCGATACCAAGGAAGATTCCATTCACAACCAATGTTGCGAGTAAGCAGAACCAAATCATTACCCTGACAGGATATGGCATGCACTCGAAGACGGTGTTCATCATGTTGGCGATAGCAGACACCAGGCCTCCGACCATGTTGAGTAGGGCCTCTGGAAGCCATCGGATAAATCGAGCAGGCACTCGAATGCAACCATTATCGCGCTGCCACATTGGATTCTGGCTGTTCAGGTTCCAACCGACGAGCGATTTCAAGTCGTTGCCCTGTACATGTTCGGGGCGGGCCGCTGAGACGTCGTGGGAGGATAGATCGGACGACGAGCGCTGAGATACCGAGTCTTGCGTAGATGTATGTGCACGTTTCGATCTACCGATTATCAGCCTGCTGTAAACATGAGCTGCGCAATGGTCAACCGACTTGCTGTTCTCAGCCTGTGAACGCTCAGTCTCCATCGATGCGTCGTGGAGCTTCGAAGTGTTTCGGCTTTACTGAACAGTTCCGGAACACTGACAACGCTACAGTTTCGCAGCCTCGCCGAACGACTTTCCAAACAAATCTTCTGGTGATGGTCGAAGTGCGTGCAATTCGCACTTTGGGTGCCTTCTTAACGCACGGTTTTGGAATTCCCGTCACGACCGTATTGCCAAAAGACGAAGAGAGCTTTCGGCTCAGTTCGGATAGCTGACGATGGCAGGCTGTCTGCAAGGCATTGTTACCGCCCCCAAACACTCCGCAGGGGTAAGCGCTCAGCCATGGGGTCCTCTGCAGTTCATCCAATAGGAAAACAGCGACCGTAAGCCCTGTGGGGCTGTGTTGTCGCCCAGCTCCCTAGCATCGTCACTCTTCATCAGCTCGGATCCGCAGGAGATTCACGCTCCCTTTGGGTTCGAGAATGGCCGAGGCACTTGCTATTATCGGGCTGGTATCTAATATCATATCTTTCATCGACTTCGGCATCAAATTCGCTTCTGGAGCTCGAAACGTGCGCGATTCCGTTCACGGTACGACTGCGGAGGTTCGAGAGCTTGAACTCATCGTGGAAGATGTTAAGAGATATCACGAGCGAGTCAAGAAGCAGCAAGCTTCCGGTCAAAAGCTGTCCGTACACGAAGATCACATTTTGGGCATGGTACAACAATGCCGCAACATAGCTGAAGAGTTGCGCAAGATTATCGCCCGGCTACATGTGCGCCAAGGTCGCTCGAAGACCCTCGAAAGTAGTCGCGTCCTTTTCCAAGGTCTCTGGAAACAACGCGACATCGAGGCTCTACGAGCAAGGCTTGATGCGCTAGATAAGCGCATTCGGGTGAATGTTGAACACATTATCCGGAGGTATGTCAATGGAGAGTATGATAGCGTTTTGAGCTGCGTACATCCACCTTAATGAAGGGGGAATTGGAACACCCTAGAGCCTGAATCCACGCCGTATCTTTCTATCTCCTTGCTTCATCCTATGTAGTCTGCAGACCTGTTCAGAGGCTTCCTCGTACATGGAGAACGAATTATCAGCCAGAACCCACGCTGACTTACTTGTCTTTTAGTGATCATCACTCTTCGCTATCAGCCAAACTAGACGCCTTGAAGACAGCTCAAGATGCCTTAGCAATTAGCTACGACGCCAAGCTGGATCAAATTCGAGACGAAATACTCACACTCGTAGCACAAACTCGCACGAGCGAAGGCGCCACGCAGGTCGCGCAATTGACTAGCCTGAAGACAAAGTTTGATGCGCTTGGCAAAGAGCACACAGCATGTACCAAGCAAACCGCTACTATACGAAGTCTCTACTTCCCAGTCCTGCGCAGGCGGTGGAGTCAAATTCCCAAAGCTGATGAAGCGTCAAACACATGGATCTTTGACACAGCATTGACTCCCTTCACAGTCTGGTTAGAGAGCACCGACGAACATGATGGACTTTTCTGCATTACAGGCCGGGTAAAGATGATCTCCCTAGTGTTTTAACTTCCACTAACGTGGCCGATCTAGGCAGGCAGCGGCAAATCAACTCTTATGAAGTTTGTAACTGAAGATCCTCGCACTTTCGAATGCCTTGAAAGTTGGGCAGGCACAACCAAACTCTGCACGGCGAGCTACTACTTCTGGAATCAAGGCTACGAAATGCAAAAGAGCCAAATAGGACTCTTCCAGTCGTTCCTGTACCAGATACTCAAAGCTGTACCCAGACTCATTGAGATAGTGTGCCCAAACCGTCTAGAGCACGAAGACTGGGACGTGGAAGAACTGAAGGCTACTTTCGCGCGCATCGCTACCCAGAAAGATTTGGAAGTCAAATTCTGCTTCTTCATCGACGGTTTAGACGAGTACAACGGGGCTGAGGAAGATGTTGTCAGCGCTCTGAAATTCCTCTCTATATCGAAAGACATCAAAATCTGTGCCTCGACACGGCCTCGCTCGGTATTTGAGAGGTTTTTCAACAACACATCTCGCACCTTCGACATCAAGAGCTTTACTAAAGAAGACATGGGACACCATGTTAAGCGTCTCCTCGGGGAGAATGAGAACTTCCAACGCCTGGCGAATGCCGATACCACGTGCGTATCAATAATGAAGGTGATTGCAGACCTTGCGCAGGGCGTATGGTTATGGGTCTTCCTCATTACTCGTGACCTCGTACACGCTGTCGATCGGGATGAAGGTGTGGACATGCTGTGGAATATCGTCAATCTCTTCCCAGCAGATCTAGAGGCGTACTTCGAGCGCATGGTCAAGGCTGTTAAGCCTCAGTATCTTGAAGAGATGTCACAAATCTTTTTGATCACGGTCGATGAGCTGCAACCGCTACCGTTATACGCATTCTCTCTACTGGAACACCAACGCAAGAACCCCGACTATGCCATCAACTTCCCCATACGGCCCATCCGCAAAGACGATTTGAAAAGTGAGTATCCCAAGTGGAAGTCGCTCATTCGGAACAGATGTAGCGATCTTCTCGTTGTTAATGATGAAGAGTAAGTGAAGCTCATGGCCATCTACTCAGGTACCAAACTCCTGAAAAGCGATTCTTATGATGTTGGCATTTCCGGCTGTTGCACGAAGATATGTGCAGTGCTTCGGGCTTTTCTCAAGCAAAGGAACGCCTATTTGTACTTTTCTAACTGTGTCACTCCAGGCATCCCTACTTCCCGGGTCCTACGGTCGACTTCCTCCACCGGACCGTTGCCGAATTCTTGCAGGACAACTACTACCACCAACTACGGGCCAATCTGAAGACGGAGTTTAGCTCCAAGTCTATCTTGTGCAAAACATGCCTTGTCATGCTTAAATCACTACCCGATATTGACTATAGTGTTCCAGCGTCGGTCGACAAAGTTCTGGGCTTAACGCACGAGCTACTTTATTACGCCTACGAAACCGAGAGAACCGACCCAAGCCCTACCTCATCCCTAGTAGAAGTGCTCGGTGAGGTAGATCGCGTCAGTACTCACCATGCACATGGCACAAGGCACCACTGGATGAATGCCCATGATGCAGTTGGTCACTGCCGGTCTGATATTTATCGCCCATGGGACAACTACGACTTTCTTGCACTGACGGTGCAAGTCCGCCTCGTCAAATACGTTCGTGCGAAATTAGACGCCAACCCAAACAACGCGCGGAAGGGCGGGCGGCCACTCCTGGACTACGCGCTCCGCCCACATCGAGCTGCAACCACTAACTTGAAGAACCACTCCAAGCGGGATGAGCCGAGTGTGAGCGTTGATAGTATGTTACAGCTCTACGAAATGCGCGTGAGACATACACTAACTTCGTATTATCACCTTTGCAGTGGTACGGCTACTCCTCGAACGTGGGGCAAATCCAAACCAGCCTGCCCGTCTGAACGACAGCAAGTCAGTTTGGCACCTCTTCTTACTTACAATGGACGAGACCGTCTCACGGCCGCTACCTTCTGGAGCGAAGCATGGAAGGAAGCCTCCAGCGGGTCTCATCAGCGCTTGGTACCAGAGCTGTGAACTGCTCATTCAACAAGGTGCTCGAAGATTTTCCCATGTTGACGAGAATGGGATGAAAACAACGGATCATGGCATCTTTAATTGGGTCTTTGGGTCTGCGAGAGCTGAGGCCCTAGTGGCACTTGTGGATGAGAAGGAGCGGGAGAAACAGCAGGCAAAGGGCTCATGTATGATTATGTAGCACCTTTTATAGCGAATCGGTATTGAGACGAAGTTTGGCAAGGTTTCAACACAATATGCAATAGCTATCAAGCGTTGCCAGGTGTTGAGGTTCTTCTCCCCCACCGGCGGGGCCGAGCAATCATAATCTAGCTGTACCGAGCGGCCCAATGAGAGTGGCATAGCGTGTGCAGGGGTTCGGCCTACCTTCCCCGAAGTTTAGCGAGCTTAGGGCTGACAGGCTGTCCGTTCGTCCTCCAAACTGTCTCGCAACATTGCCTGCGTCTTCTTTGAAACATGCTATTCGAGCCACTAAGAATCTCCGCAAAACGAGTTGGAGCGACGTCTTCATGTTCGTCATCCTAGCTGCACATCGCTCTCGCTATGCAGCCAGAAGCCAACACACCGAATCAACACGTGACTGCAAAGGCTGCGCACCAACCTGTAAGAGGTGTTGTACGGAGGAAGTCTAAATCAGGGTGCGGAACCTGCAAGTAAGTGGACTCCCCTGTTCAATGACACGGTACTCAACCGATTGGCTGTTTGTTTTGCAGCGATCTGGGTAGACATCTGTTCCAATGGACGCTTACCGACATCGACTAGAGCGCGAAGAGTCAAGTGCGACGAAACCAAGCCTGTATGCTCTCGCTGTCGCTCCACTGGTCGGACATGCGAGGGTTACGGACTGTGGGGTGGCGGAGGGAATACCTACGTTGAAAGATATGGTCGCGTATCCACGTCGATCCAGAAGCCTCCAACCAAAATCTTGGGTGTCGAGGAACTCAGGTATCTACAGTTATACAGGATCCGCATCGTTCACACAACTTCCGGTTGGTTTGCTTCGAAGTTCTGGAACTCGATCGTGCTACCAGCAGCGTCGTCAGAACCGGCGGTTCTTCATGCTGCTGTTGCGCTGAGCGCTGCGCACAGATGCAGTTTCGATTCGGCACAAGCTCCGGATGAGAGGGAAAAGTTCATGCTTCAACAATATGGCAAAGCGATCCAGTCGCTACAGCCGCTGTTGCGGCGTGGAGACACAGCCTCGGTCACGGTCATTCTGGTCACCTGTCAGTTATTTACGTTGCTTGAATACCTCCGCGGGCAATACCAATTGGCCGAATCACACTTACGGAACGGTCTAAAGGTCCTGATGAACATGACCACGAAGAAAGATCGCTCGCACGATGGCGTCCTCGTAATCAAGCCGGCATCATATGAAAAGAGTATCGACCAAGGCATCGTGCGCAGCTTCGCGACCCTACATATGCAAAATAATCTGTTCGGTTCCGGTCTGGAAGATCTCGATATATTTCTTCAGCCGATAGAAAACAGCATACCATACCCTACTTTTACGACTATCGAGGAGGCGAAGGACGCTCTTGATGTGCTATTGCACGGCATTGTTCTCATAGCACAACGATATCGAAAGATGGGGCCAGGCACTAAAGACGAAATTGCTGCGGTTACAGCAGGACAAGAAGAGATTATGACCTCTCTTGCGACGTGGTACGATACGTATCTGAGTACACTTCCCTCGGTCAACAAACTCGCCCTAGCTGCCGGGAAGAAACCAGATGATCTGTGGGCGTTCGGCGGGAAGACGCCGCCAGCAAAGCTTCCGATGAGCCGCGAACCATCGGTTCTCAAATTGCTACTCATGTATCATGCCATGGCGCGCATAATGTGCGGCTGTCTGCAAGTGCACTCTGAGCAGCACTACGAAGCGTATACGCAAACGTTTCTCACGGTACTTGTGCATGCCATACACATCTTCGAAGAGTACAACTTGGCAAAATCTATACCCGATAACGTCAACCTCCACGACTCGATTGGCGAATACGGCTTTATCGCGCCTTTGTATTACACAGCTATCAAGTGTCGATACCATCGCATCCGCCTCCATGCTATTCGGCTCCTGCGGGTGATCCCGCTGAAGGAAGGAACGTGGGATTCTTTCACGGCAGCAAATATCGCGGAAACGGTTATGGAGCTTGAAGAGCAAAATAGTCACTATGGGGATAACGCTGGAGATGGCTTCTCTCTCTCAGAGATACCCAATTTGGAAGATTCGTATAGCTGGTCTTTGATGCCGGAGCATAACATGTTCTACGATGTGGAAGCAACGACAAGAGGAGACCTCACGAACGAAGTCGTCGTCACATGCAAAAGACGGCGGCTGGACGGTCTTCCGGAGATCATCACCTTCCACGCCAATCCTAAACCTAGACACAACACCGAAAAAGAGAGACATTCTTATACCTGAAGAGGGCCAATGCAGCTAAAGTCATTTCATGCAAAACGAAAACCATTCCATCTGGCGCATCAACTTCCTCCTCCCTAAAGCTCCCATCCCTCCATCTCCCGCTGCGTCCAGGTCCACAACTTCTCTCCCAATCCCGTATCCTTGGACAACTCACTCCCCATACCCAACACACCCACAGGTTCATAATACCGTCCACTTAGCACGCCTTCTGCAGTCGCTGCCCAAACCCCGTTCTTGATCCCTTCCTCCAACGATCCACATCTCTTAGGCGCCACTTCCCTTGCCAGATATTTAATCTGCTCATCACCCCCCTCGGCGCCTTTATTGAAGATCTCCGTCAAAACGTCACCAGGGTGGATCGCTACACTGATGATCTGCGGGTAGTGCAATGCGTATTGGCGCGCGTAGACTACGTTGGCGAGTTTGGATTGCGTGTACTTGTTCACGCCTGACAAATCAATTTGGGAGGATTTCAACGTGTCGAACGCGATGCCGCCGTCTGGCAGGGCGGCGGTGTGAGCGTGGCCCCGCGAGCTGACGGATATGACGCGGGGCGTCGAGCCCGTGGTTTCGGCAGTAGAGAGCAGAAGCGGAGTGAGTAGTTTGAGGAAGAGGGCATGACCGACGTGGTTCGTCCCGAATTGCAGTTCATGGCCTTGAGGTGTAGTGCCCGGGTGGCCGCCCATCTATCGTCGCAGAAGGCGAAGATTAGTCATCGCATACATCGACACATGTGCACACAGGAAACCCGAACAAGAACAGATAAGCAACGCTTCAGGGAGAAAAGAGTTAGGACATACAATCCCAGCATTCAACATCAAAACATCTAATCGCCCTCCACAACCCTCCACCACTTCCCTCGCCGCTCTTGCTACCGAGTCAAAACTCGCTAGATCGCATTCTACGAATCGAACGTCGACGGGCGGCGCCGCGACTTTGATTTCAGCGACGGCAGCATGGCCGCTTGTGACGTTGCGAGCCGCGATCCAGAGTTGTGCTGGGTTTAGAGTGGCGAGGGAGAGGGCGGTGGCTTTTCCTATGCCGCTGTTTGCGCCGGTTATCAGGATGACTTTGGAAGAGAGGGATGGGATCGAGGACATGGTTGCGCGGATTTAGAGACGGGATAGAAGAGGTCAAGGTGAAGTAGTGTAAGAACGTAGGCGTCGTAGTGTTGGGGCCAAAGAGTTGAAAGGTGGATGTGACGCATGTGTCATATGGTATATTACCCTCCATTTATCTACTGCTTCTGTTTTCGAGTTTCCGACTTATCCCTCGTTTGTTCCAAAAAGGATATTGTGCATTTCCATATGATGCGTATGATTCGCTAAAGTTCTCCGTGATTCAGGCGTCCCGGGTGTGAGACTGCGGAGGCGCGAAGGCACCGAGACTCCGATGTAGCGGTAGGACATCCTCCGGGGAGCGACAATGAAGCTTCCCATCATGCTTGATAATGACTGAATTGTGGCTATCCTTGGATAAAGTGGCTTTTGGCAATTATGACCACTATCTATCGAGATAGCAGAGCTGAAGATCATGTCCTCCCACATCACGTACCTTTCCCCTCCTCAACATCAACCCACCCTACACAACCTCCCATCCTGCGTGACAATCCCCTCTCTCTTCCCCCCATCCACATCCCTAACCTCCCACTCATCACTCCCCACGCCTCCAATTGCCCAAAACACACCTTCAGGATCATATTCCCTCTTCACTCTAGCCAGCCTCTCATAATTGCTCCCAAAAAACGCTTCCTTCCACTCCCAATCCTGCGCATCCCCTTCATTGATATAACTCCCACTCCCAGGCGTAACATCCCGCCAACCCTGCATGTACCCCTGCAGCTGCTGATGTTTTTCTGTCAGCGCCTCGTGCGACAAGATGGGTGCTTTGCCGTCCCAGTGCGCGTTAGGTTCGTAAGCTTGTGCGTGGAGGACTGTGGTTCGGAACGCGGGGTTTACGCTGTTGTTTGGGTTTCCGGAGACGGAGAGCGTGGGCGCATAGTTCATGCCGTGGAAGGTTAAAGAACCGTTTTCGACGACATGGCGGATGGCGAGGTGGGAGGTTTCTAGTGTAGAGGGGGTGGAGAAGGTGGTGCGGGGGAAGAAGCGGGATGCTATTAGGGTGTGGCCTGTTGTTTCGCCTATTACTCTTTTTGAGAGAAGAGTTGCTTCGTTTTGGGGGTTCTCTTCGTATGAGAAAGATGGCGTGAAAGAGCGTTTGAGTGTCGGCATAGGTTGCTGGATACCGAGATCATTGAGCTTCTGGAGCAACGGACGGACGAATTGCCGATATTGGTTAGTAGTTTTGTTGGGAACCGAGATACTGACAGTGAAGGTAAGACCTGTGCTACTACTGCTTGGGTAGATGAAGCTGTAACCCAAGCCGCCTGCGTCACAGATGGCGATCGAAAACTCCCAGTACGCGCGCATGCCGGCCCAGAAGGTTTCTGTAGAGATTGGAGGCGCACTTGATCCGCGATCTGGTGTCGTTGAGAAACGAACACTGCCTGACGTAATCGATGTGGTCGGGAATGCTTTGACGACAACGGATGTGATGACGCCGAATGTGCCTGGTCTTTTGTCAGTGATAGTCGGGCTCCCTTCTTGATGGGAATGATTACCTCCACCTCCTCCTCTAAAAGCCCAGAACAGGTCTGCGTTTTCGCCTTCATGTGCTTCAATCACTCTTCCATCAGCTGTAACAGCAGTGATGGCGAGCACTTGGTCTGCCGCCAGACCATAGTAGCTGGTGTAGGCGCTATGTCCACCACCCTGGAGAAAACCACCTGCAATACCTACGGTTGAACCGCCTGCAACAATCATGAGCATATTCTTCTGCCGCATTAGTGTAGACCCCTCAGAAGCCTGAGTACCAGCGGCATATGCGACAGCTCTTCCCGTATAGGAACCAGTAGGCGAGGTATAGTTGGGATCAAAAGTCATGCCTTTGAGGTTGTGTGTCCAAACGCTAAGGGAGTAACCACCGATGGATTTCCCGTTGAAGTCGTGACCCGAGTTTTTGATCACAAGGCGGATGTCCTGGTTCCTAGCAAAGTTGACTGCGAGTTGGATGTGTCTCAACGTAGTGGCTCTGACGACGTACTCCGGCCAACCGCCTTGAGAGCAGTTTGAGTTTGGTTGTGAGGTCGGTGTGCAGGTGTTCCCGGATGCCCATTGGGACATGATACTGGTGGGATCATCGGTACTGTCGTAGTTAGAGTGACACGATAAGGGTGACGTTGCGTTACGAGTGAGCTCACTGTAGGTTCATGCCCGCCCAGTTACTTTTGTACTGTTCGCATCTCGCTGCATTGTAGCCTTCACCAGTATAGCAGACGCTGGCAAGCGGTCTAGGCTTCAGTAGCACACCACCGAGCGTATCGTTGAAAGAGTCCCAGACGTCCTCGCTCGGCCACTCAGCGTCACCCGGGATGATCTTGCAATTAGTAGGCGCCGCAGCTTGTGCCGCACTACCAAAGCGCACTGCGCCATTGCGAGCTGCATCGTCGTCAGTGAGCTGTTCACGCTCCCAATCAAAGTTGATAGCAAAAGTTGCTGCTGAAAAGAGGAAGAAGAAGAGAGTGGTATAAAACATCTTGGTGAAGTTGTGAATGCCACTGTTTGAGGAAAGGATGTAGAGTTGCTACAGGCGCGATGGGACTCAATATAGGAAAGCACCGCCATCACAACGACACACCGATACGCTTATCGCTCTCACTCACTGTAAAGCAGCCTGTTTGCTCCCCACACACCCCTTCAATGCCTCGACTGTGGGGCTATACGAGCATGTGGTCTTCGCAGGTGTGGGATGACTGAGCTGTGGTGTTCACTCACTGTCCTGCATATACGTGCCGGCTATATAGCTTACCACCGTCCCGGTTCGCAGAAAGATTTCCAGGCGAGAATCCGGGTCTAGATTTACCATTAGTCCGGGCGTGCAGGGTGATCAACTACGCAACAACAGACGCAAAACGATTCGAAGAAGGGAGATATCTTTTCATACAAGGGGTTATCATGCAATACGACAGTTGGACAAATGATCATGGGGGATAGAAAACGCGCCATCCGCTGTACATAAGATCGTCTGTCCCTGAGATCCAATCTCATCTAGCCCAATAGTAAAGTTACACAGTCGTCCCAAATGCACCGAAAATAGAATCAGATTATAGCATAAGCTCGAGAGGGCTCTCAATGGCCTTCTTGAGCTCGCGCATGAACTCGCCACCGACGGCACCGTCGACAACCTTGTGGTCGAAGCTGCCGGTGATGACAATCTGGTCGTCCCACTCAACGCTCGCTGTGCCATCCTCAGCCTGGCCTGGTACTGCGACCTTCCTTGTTGTGCCGATTGCGACGATGCAAGCTTGTGGGGGGTTGATGACGGCGGTGAATCGCTCAACAGCGGGGTTCATTCCCATGTTGGAGATGGTGATGGTTCCGCCCTGGTATTCCTCGGGCTTGAGCTTGCCGTCGCGTGCGCGCTTGCCAAGGTCCTTGATCTGGGATGAGATGGATTGGAGGCCGAGTCCGTTGACATTCTTGACAATGGGGGTCATGAGACCGACGGGGGTAGAGACAGCGACGGAGACGTCGACAGTGTTGTGCTGGCGGATAATGACCTTACCGCCATCCTCGCGCCAGGATGAGTTGGCAGCGGGGACCTTGCGGGCGGCAACAGCGAGAGCCTTGACAAGCAAGTCGTTGACCGAGAGCTTGTACTCGCCGTTAGCTGAGGCGTTGAGAGCTTCGCGGAGCTTGAGGAGCTTAGAGACGGAGATATTGGAGGCGACGAAGTAGTGGGGGTTCTGCTGCATGCTCTCGCGGAGACGGGTAGCAATGACCTTGCGCATGCTGGTAGCCTCGACGTCCTCGTACGCGGCAGCGGAGGCGCCAGCAGCGGGGGCAGCACCGGCAGCGGGCTTGTACTTCTCAATGTCCTCCTTGGTGACCTGGCCGCCCTTTCCAGTGCCCTTGATGGAACCGATCGGGACGCCCTTCTCGAGCGCGAGCTTCTTCGCGGCGGGGGAGACGGCGGGCTGGCGCTGGAGAGCGGTCTCTAGGCGGTCGCCGGTGGACTCAGACTCGATGGCGGCGGGCGCAGACTCCTCCTTGGCGGGGGGAGCAGTCTTGGAGCCAGTGTTCGGGGGCTCGCTGGCTTCGGCGGCGTTGCCCTCCTTAGAGGGAGTGTCGGCCTTCTTATCACCACCGGCATCCTCGATGGAGAAGCTCTCGAACGCGGAGACGTCCTCGCCCTCCTCGACCATGACGGCGATGGGCTGCGGAAGTCAGCATGGCATCCTCGAAAGCTTGTGCACCTCAACTTACGCTTCCAACAGCGACGTCCTTCTCGCCAGCGTCGCGGAGGATCTTGGCGATGGTGCCCTCCTCCTGAAACTCAAAGTCCATCTGTGCCTTGTCTGTCTCGATCTCGACGAGGACGTCACCGGGCGCTATTGAGTCGCCGACCTTCTTCTGCCATGCGCCAATGTTTCCGGCGGTCATGGTTGGGGAGAGGGCGGGCATGCTGATAACGCTGTGCGAGGGGTAGGCTGCGGGCTGCGTTAGCAATGCGATGGCCAGCGGAGTATCCAGTCGCGAGGGACGCGGTGGGAGTGCTCACACTTGGAGGCATAGTAGCGTGCGAGCGCGGACAGGGCTGGTGTGCGTCTGTATACGTGCGTGTCAGC